ATTTTAAATGTTTTATTTTATTTTAAATGTTTTATTTTATTTTAAATGTTTTATTTTATTTTTAAAATGTTTTATTTTATTTTGTGTTACTATGAATGCAACACTTGCGTGCAGCCTATACATCCTAAACGCAGCAGCAGCAGCAGCAGCAGCAGCAGCAGCAGCAGCTGCTGCTGCTGCTGCTGCTGCTGCTGCTGCTGCTGCTGCTGCTGCTGCTGGTGCTGCTGGCTCACGTGTTTGGCTGCTGCAGCGAAGAGGGCGTGTCTGTACACCTGGAGCTTGGCGAAGGAGCTGACGAGCAGCGCAGCATCTTGTGGGGTCCAGTGGTCAGTTTGCTGCAGTGCTGCTGCTTCGATTGCTGCTAGTGCTGCTGCGTGTCTTGCTGCAGCAGCAGCAAGTGCATGCGCCGCCAGCGCCAGCTGCTGCGGCCGCATTGCTGCAGCAACTCGCGGCACTTGAGCAGCAACAGCAGCAGCAAACTTGCTGCGCGTGCTGCTGTACATACACCGCGTGCTGCTGTTCAGCACAAGGGCCACGTCCTTGGGGCCCAGTGCTGCTGCTTGCTGCAGCAGCCGCTGCGCTGCAGCAGCAACTGCTGCTGCTGCTGCTGCGTCCAGCGGCAGCCGCAGCCGCGCGTGTGCTGCCAGCAACTCTCTGCAGCACGAAACCCCAGCTGTACGTACACTGCAAACAATGGCAGCAGCAAGCTGCTGCGCTGTACGTACACTGCGCCAGCCGCACTGCTGCATCACCCGCAGCAAGTCCCGCGCCTCAGCAGCAGCAACTGCAGCAGCAGGCAGCTGCTGCAGCCGCTGCTGCAGCTGCTGCTGCAGCACCCGGTCCCGCAGCCCGCTGCCCCGCAGCCCGTTGTACACAACCAAGACATCAGCAGCAGCAAAAGCAGCAGCAGCAGCAGCAGTTGCCCGCGCCAGGCTCTCCCACTGCGCAGCAGACAGACGCAGCGGCTGCTGCTGCTGCTGCTGCTGCTGCTGCTGCGCGCCGCAGGCAGCAGCAGCAGCTGGGGGGGCCCCCCGCGGCTGCAACTCGGGGGGCCCCCGGGGGCCCCCCAGTCTTCGATATATCGACAAGAGGCCCTCTTTGTCAAGTTTGGCAATGGCTGAGGGGCTCAGGGGGTCCTGATATAAAAAAAACACACATTCATTGCTGCTGCTGCTGCTGCTGCTGCTGCTGCTGCTGCTGCTGCTGTTGCTGCTGCTGCTGCTGCTGCTGGCAGCGCAGCGTCGGAGCCTAGAGACACTGCTGCGAAGCGGCCGCTGCAGCAGCAGCAACAGTTCCAGCAGCAGCCCTAGCGGCAAAGGCCATAAAGACAATAAAAGCAGCAGCAGCAGCAGCAGCAGCAGCAGCAGCAGCAGCAGCAGCAGCAGCAGGTTATCCTCACTTCAGCTTCCTTTGGCTCCTCTTGCTGCTCTATAACAATTAAATGCTGCCACCGGCGGCTGCCCCCCAGGGCCTCATTAACACTCCAAAAAGGGGGCCCCTGGGGCCCCGGGGGCCCCCCCGGGGGCCCCCCTGGGGGCCCCCACAGGGGCCCCCACAGGGGCCCCCAGGAGGGCCCCCTGGGGGGCCCCTTGAGGGGCCCCCAGGGGGCCCCCAAGGGCTCTAACTGTCTCTCCTTGAGGCACTTACAGGGGCCCCTTGGGGGCCCCCTAACAAACCCTCTGGTGTACCCATGGGGGGCCCCCAGGGGGGCCCCCCTGGGGGCCCCTCCACGAGACCCCCCATGGGGCCTCTCAAAGGGCCCCTCAGGGGGCCCCTCAGGGGGCCCCTCAGGGGGGCCCCCAGGGGGGCCCTCAGGGGGGCCCCCAGGGGGGCCTCTGGTGGTACAGCAAGGGGAGGGCTCTTTGCTGCAGACTGCACTTGAGGGGCCCCCAAAGCCTATTGGGGGGCCCCCCATGGTCTTAAGGGGGGACCCCCAGGCCAGAGGGGGGCCCCTATTAGTTGGGGGGCCCCCCATGGGGGGCCCCCTGGGGGCCCCCAGCCTCCACTTTGAATAACAAAGGCTCATAAAATAGAAGTCACCCTTCTTGGCGCCCCGCTGTAAACCCTAAACCCTAAACCCTAAACCCTTAAGCCTCAGTTAAAGCGCACAGAGCCCCTGGGGGCTATAAACCCTAAACCCTAAACCCTAAACCCTTATTTCGATTGTCAAGGCCCTTGGGGCCCCCCGCCATCCTAGCGAGGCCCAGGGAATAGAAACCTGAGTCATGAACCCCTAAACCCTAAACCCTAAACCCTAAACCCTAAACCCTAAACCCTAAACCGCCAAATAAGGCTGCAGGGCCCAAATCTCCAAACCCTGATTCTAGCCGTTGCTGGGGGGCCCCTGGGGGGCCCCCGGGGGGCCCCCGGGGGCCCCCGTGGGGCCCCCGATGATGGGAGGATTCTTATTGAATTGATTTTGAAGAGTTTTGATTTAATTTGGAAAAAATAATTTTGATTTTATTTTAATTTTCATTTTAATTATATTTTGCTGTCCTTGGGCCCCTCGCCGGCCTGCTTTGGCGCCGCGAGGCCGCCGCAAACCCTAAACCCTAAACCCTAAACCCTAAACCCTAATGGCAGCTGTACGTACACCCGGCGAGCTCCTGGGCTCCACCAGCCACTACAACGCAGGAGATGGGGTGTATGTACAGAACGGATTGCTGCGGGCTGCTGCTGTGGGCACTGAGAGGGTTTTGCCTCCCACCAGCAAACAAGTGAGCCGCAAACCCTAAACCCTAAACCCTAAACCCTAAACCCTACGCTCAAAGCAGACAGGGGAGACTCAAGCCGATTCAGGGGGGCCCCTGGGGGCTAGGGGGGCCCCTAAAGCGCGAAAGGGGCCCCTCAGAGGGCCCCGTGGGCACCCACGGGGTTCCCCAGGGGGCCCCAGGGGGCCCCCGGGGGGCCCCAGGGGGCCCCCGGGGGGCCCCCAGGGGGCCCCCGGGGGCCCCCCTGGGGCCCCCGGGGGGGCCCCCTGCACAAATAGACAGCGCTGGATAAAAAGCCCTTTTTGAGTTTGCTAAATTATTCTTTTTGTGGTTTTGTGTTTCCATTTTGCTGCGGGAGATGAAATTCGTCGAAATAAAAAAAAATAAAAAAAAATGAATTTCCACTTTTGAAATATTGCGGCTTTGAGTTTGTGGTGTACGTACACCTGAAACTGCGGGGGCTGCGGAGCTGGCGAGGGAACGAAAGGCGTTGTTTGATTATTTGTTTTTTAATTAATTAATTAATTTATTTATTTATTTATTTATTTATTTATTTATTTTTATTTATTTATTTATTTATTTATTTATTTATTTTTATTTATTTATTTTGGCACTCAGGGACTTCCCACAATCTGCATAGCCCGCGCGGCGCAGAGCCGCGCGGCTGTGGCCCACGTGGGCTCTTTGGTGCTGGGGCAGGTGCCTAAACCCTAAACCCTAAACCCTAAACCCTAAACCCTAAACTCTAAACCCTAGGTTTTAGGTTTAAAGCAGGCAAGCCCTTCTCGGGGAGTGGCGGTGAGGCCAGGCGACTCTGCAGCGCGGCGCTGCAGCAAAGAGCAAGTCAAGGCCCTTTATCTAGGGTTTAGGGTTTAGGGTTTAGGGTTTAGGGTTTAGGGTTTTGCGAATGAAGGTAACTGCGGTAAACCGCATGCTGGCAGAAGTGGCTGTCTTGGCCGTCGACGGGCACGTTCTCCCCGAACCCTACAAGGGGGCCATCAGGTAAGGGTTTAGGGTTTAGGGTTTAGGGTTTAGGGTTTCAAATTAGGGTTTAGCTTTGGATCGAGGGCTTTGTGGTTTAGGGTCTAGGCTCTAGGGTTTGCACTTGCCGACTGCTGCTGGAGCTGCTCACTGCTTCTTAATTAGTGCAAGTGAGGCTTTAGGCTTGGGGCTTAGGGTTTAGGGTTTAGGGTTTAGGGTTTAGGGTTTAGGGTTTGCTGCAGGGCCCAAGACGCGCGAGAGACAGTGACTGAGAACTTCGACATCGCCGAGTGTTTTCAGCCCTTAGACGTCGTGCGGGCGGAAGTGGTAAACCCTAAACCCTAAACCCTAAACCCTCGCCCGCAGCGCTAAACCCTAATTGCAAACCCTAAACCCTAAAGTGGAGGTTGAGCCAAACCCTGAGGGTTTGGCGCTCGGCTGCGCGGGCGCGCCCCGGCGCAGGGTTTGCGCAGCCCCCACGGGACTCCAGCGCCTAGGGTTTAGGGTTTAGGGTTTAGGGTTTAGGGTTTAGGGTTTGCGCGCAGCTTTCTGTGGACGGAAGACAATACTTGCTGGGAACTGCAGCAGAAGGGTTTGGGGTTTTGTGTGCTGACAGCAAAAGGGGGGGGGCGCTGCAGCCGGTGTCTTCGAGTTTGATGCGCTGCAGCATTTCGGGGCAGCTGGAAAGAAGGTCAAACCCTAAACCCTAAACCCTAAACCCTAAACCCTAAACCCTGGCTGCCGCGAGGCAGGCGGGCGCGCCCTCCTGCGCCAGAAAGACCTTCACGCCAGACCCACGGCTTAGGGTTTAGGGTTTAGCTAGGGCCAGTGGGGGTAGAGTTTAGGGTTTAGGGTTTAGGGTTTAGGGTTTGCATCTGCGCTTCAAGGGTTTAGGGTTTAGGGCGTTGGAGCTGTGGGGCGCGTTTCTGTGTGCAGGAAGGTCGCCCGGCCTCCGGGGGTTTAGGGTTTAGGGTTTGAAGCCGAGGGTTTAGGGTTTGGAGTCGAGGGTTTAGGGTTTGGAGTCGAGGGTTTAGGGTTTAGGGTTCAGCGTTTGGGCCCAAAGCTGAGCAAAACCGAACCTGGCCACCGCCTTGCCTTGTTGGAGCTGCAGGGTTTAGGGTTTAGGGTTTGGAGTCGAGGGTTTAGGGTTTAGGGTTTGGAGTCGAGGGTTTAGGGTTTGTGTGCTTTTTTGGTGCTTGCCAACTCTTCGCTGATGGCTTCAAAAGTAATTTTTGCTTTCAACCCTTTTAGGGTTTAGGGTTTAGGGTTTAGCGCACAGCTACCTCAGCCGTCCTTTCGGGGTTTAGG